AAAATGATTACACACAGGCACTGCTCTTATGAAACAGAAACTACATATTTAATTCTTGTTCACATTTAAAAGGTCTGATTCAGGTGGCACCTCTACTGCAGAGCCTTCCCCACGTCATCCAGAGAGAAGAAACATTCTCAGGACTTTATCCACAACCAACCAGAAGCCAGTTCTCTTCTCCTCTGCATTAGAGTAGCTGAGGTCATGTTTGATTTGCTCTTCTGACTGGAACTTTGTTCTGGCTCCAAGGTTTGCCTTAGTCCCTTAGCCTTCTGCTATATCTGGCTCAACCTAAAATGCAAATAGATGCTAAGTGTCTGAATCCTCCCCTCCAAGTAGACTACATTAGCTTTTGTTCTATCTTGTCACATAAAACAAGCTACTTGAAAGATGCTGTCCATTTTTTCTTTAGAAACTCTTTCGAAATAAACCTCCTGAAAAGTAGCTCTTTTCTGGCACAGAAACAAAGCAGTACATTAAAGAATATACACTCATGCATATTCTAATTCACTTTTATAAGTGAAACACCAGTGGGCACATTCTCCCAACTACTTAACACTAAAACATTGTCAGAGAAAAGTATAGTTTTCAACTCTCAGATCTTCTCTGAGTCACATTCAAAGCCAAGAAGAGGTATTCCAAAATAATGTCTGAAAATTTAATGCTGATATATAAGATGTTTTTTGGCTTAGATAAGATCTAAGCCAGTCTTACACATAGCCACTCATTCTTCCCACACCATCCATAATATCAAATAAAATAGAATTTGTTTCAGGCACAAGAGAATAAAAGTCTTATTTATTTGATTCTTTGTACTACACCAAGACAGCCATGACAAAGATAACTCTAAAGACAGCTAGCCCCCAAATAAATCCTACTAGGCTCTGAAGTTAGAATTGCAGAAATGTTTCCAATTAAGTGAGCTTTCTACTTGTTTATTAACATTATTAATAGGCAAGTATTGAAAGTTTTCATCTTCTGAACACACATCAACTTGTAGTTGGACACGGGATGGTAAGATGTGGGAAGAAACAAAACTGAATAGAAGGATTATAAACTTGCTTTTTACACCTGTGAAAGTGTTTTTTCACACACTTCAATTTAATTCTTGCCATCTAATTACATTTAATTCTTCCTATTTCCAGGTAAGGAAACCAAGATTTGAAGACATTAAGAGACATATCCACTGGCTTCTTTACACACTGCCTCAAAGAATTTCCATTTACTTACTGATATAAGGAGGCAGTATTATTTTAATATGGTTTTAACACAGATGAAATAGATTAATACATAATCTGTCGAGCCCTAATCTTCTACCTCTCCACAGTCTTCTGCTTTTCTTATTATTCTACTCTACCTCTTCAGGCTAAAATCTGACATTAACTGGTAAGGTAGATAATACACCTGAAAAAGTCCAAAGCTACTCCATAGTACTTTAAAATGTATGTACTCATCTTTCCTGAGAGCTTACCAGGCACCAAGTATAGCTCTAGCACTTTGTAAGTATTCATTAATCCCATCTCCACTGTAACCATATAGAGTAGGTACCATTATTACCTCAATGTTACCAGTGAGTAAATGGAAGTGCTTTGAGGTAGAGAGCTTAAGTAGCTTGCTGGCAGCTATCATGCATTAACCTTAAAAGATAAGGTTCTGTAGCTTACTCATATGAACTTAGCTGTGGTGAAGTAAATCCTCTAAGCCTCTTTTGGCCTTAACTGTCCAACATGGTAACTCCTAGCCACACACAGCAACTGAGCACATGAAATACGGCCAGTGTAGCTGAGGAAATCCATTTTTTAATTGTACATAATTTTAATTAATTTTATTTATGATTTAAAGTGAATATTAGATGAAGCAGCAGTTTTCAAGACACAGGACTTCAGTCAATGAAAGGCAGTAACCCTTGCAACACGGGGCACAAAAGACAAGAGCTCTACAATGGCCACAGCTTGCTGTTCTGAGGAAGTTTCCAGGCTGAGGCATAGGACAGGGGAGCTTAGGCAAAGCTCAAAGTCTCAATTAAGAGAGTCTGGAGAGATGGGAGAAAAAAAAACCAAAACCTAGATTTCACACGACAGAAGACATACGAGGAGACAGCAGAACAAAGAGGGACTGCAGACTTCCTCAAGATCAGTACTCAGCTTAGCACTGATCAGGGCATTCATGTGAGAAAACTACCCAAGGGCTGAGAGCTGCTCAGAAGACAAACAGGCCCAGTGCCTGTGCCCAGCTGTCAAACCGGAGAATCCTGTGCTTGGTGGGGCTCTGGGTAGTGGGCACTGGATTTGCCTTAGCTCAAGAAATGATCAGCTCCACTCCAGCTGTTAGCACTAGCACTTCTCTGGCACATCTAAAACTCCTCAAAAGGATCTTAAAAGATGGAATTTTTTTCCCAGAAACTTAATTGTGTCCTAGAAAAAAGCTGAAGAATATTTATAAGAATACAAAAAAAAAATCCAGTATCAAAAACATAAAATTCACAATAACTGGCATTCAATTAAAAAATTAACAGGTGGTGGCCGGCACTATGGCATAGCAGGTAAAGCTGCCTCCTGTGGTGCTGGCATCCCAAATGGGTGCCGGTTCCAGTCCTGGCTGCTCCACTTCTTATCCAGCTCTCTGCTATGGCCTGGGAAGGCAGTGGAAGATGGCCCAGGTCCTTGGCTCCCTGCGCCCACATGGGAGACCCAGAGGAGTCTCAAGGCTCTTGGCTCCTGGCTTCGGAGCAGCCCAGCTCCAGCCTTTGCAACCATCTGGGGAGTGAACCAGTGGATGGAAGATTTGTCTCTCTCTCCCCCCTCCCTCTCTCTTTCTCTTTCTCTCTCTCTCTCTCTCTCTCTCTCTGCCTCTGTCTCTCTATAACTCTGCCTTTCACATAAATAAATATATCTTTAAGAAAAAAATTACAAGACATGCAAGGAAGAGGAGAAAATTAATCAATCAAAAATGAACCAGAACAGACACAATTATTAGAAGTTACAGTCAGGAATATTAACATAATGATTATAACTGTATTCCAGATATTCTAAGAGTGAGAGTCACAGGAGATGTTTAACAGGGTCGAACAACTTATAGAGATAAAACTGCAATAAATAACATTTTTAAATATACTGAGTGATCCAGTAGTCTCCCCCTTATCTACAGTTGCACTTCCCAAGCTTTCAGTTATCCACAGACAATTACAGTCCAGAAATATTATTATAGGACAGTGGAGAATTAAGACATTTTCACAGAAAGGGATCACAGTCATATAACATTTACTATAGCATGTTTTTAATTTTTTTCTATTTCATTATGAATTATTGTCATTAAACTCTTACTGTGCCTAATTTGTAAATTAAATTTTATAGTAGGTATATAGTTGTTAGAAAAAACATAATATACATGGAGTTCAGTACTGTCTCTGGTTTCATGCATCTACTGGGGTCTTGGACTTACTCTCCATGGATAAAGGGGAACTATTGTACCAATGACAGGTAATACAAAAAAAGCTTCATGATCTAGAAGGCATAGAGTAGAAATGATCAAAAATCATGCACAGAGAAAAAAGAAAGTAATTTTTAAAGAGAGAAAATGTCAGTATGTTATGGAACAATGTAATTTACACATAACAGGAGTCTCCAAACAAGAAATAGAGAAGAAAAAACAATACATATTTGAGGATGTAACAGCCAAATTTTTCCCAGAGTTGATGAAACTCAGTAAATCCTATATATGAGAAACATGACAAAACATACACCAAGGCACATCATACTGAACTTGTTCAAAATCAGTAACAGATTTTTTTAAAAAACAAGGGGAAATGGTTAAATCACCTACAGAGAAACAAAGACCAGTTATGACAGATCGTTTGTTAGAAGTGGTGGAAGTGAGAAGACATCTTAAACAGAAAAAAATTATCAGCCCAGAATTTTATAGTCAGCAAAAATATATTTCAAAATAAAAACTTTTTCAGCCATACAAAATCTAAAAGAACTCAAAACCAGTTCACCTATACTGTCAGAATATTAAAGAAAGTCCTTCAGGCAGGATGAGATGGGAGAACAGGCCTACACAGGGAATGATAAGCACAGGAAATAGTATCTATCCATGGATAAACATAAATATATGCTACATTTCCTCATCTAAATACTTTTAAATATAGTGGACCTATTGAATTTAACTAACAGTGGTCTGGAGTTTGTAACATAAGTAAAAAAAATGTATGACAATAATAGTACAAAGATCAGAACAGAAAAGCATTCTATTAAAATATTCTTATAATATACATAAGGTGGCAAAACATCTCTTGAAGCTAGATTGTGATAATTTAAAGATGTCATCTATAAACCCTGATTCAATCACTAAAATACCAAAACAATGAGTTATAGTTAATGATCCAACAATGGAGATAAAATGGAATTTTTAAAAATGTTCAATTAATTAATCCAAAAGAAGATAGAAAGAAAAGTAAACTAAAAAAGAAAAAGAAAGAAAAAAGTATAGGTGAGACAAGTAGAAAACAAAAAGCAAGAAGATAAATTTAAATATCATGAAAAGGACATGAAGACCACCTGAAAGAAGCCAGGCACAGAAAGACAAATACTGTGTGATTTCACTCACAGGTAGAATCTAAAAAAGTTCACCTCACAGAAGTCAAGAGCAAAATAGTGGCTATCAGAGGCCAGAAAAGAAAGCGGAGAGTGAGGGATGGGGAAAGACTGATTAACAGATACAAAATTATAGGCAGATAAGAGGAATATGTTCTGCTGTTCCATTATAAAGAGAGCAATTAAAACATTATATATCATATATCTCAAAGTAGGAGAGAATCTTTTCAGTGTTCTCATCACAAAGAAATTATAAGTATTTGGGATGATGGATAACCTAAGTATCCTGAGTTGATCATTATTCAATGTATATATATTCTAAATCATTATTAAATGTTGATGGAGAACTAAAATTTTAAAAAATGTGTATATAAGTCCTCAGCTTCCTCCTGCCCGGCGCTGGGGTCAGCGTTTCCTGGGAGCATGGCCCCCAAGCGCCCGTCTTCGCTCCTTCCTCACGCGAAGAAGCCAAGAGCAGCTCCTGGCCCGAGGCCGGCGGACACATCGGCCTCTCGGGGTTTGTTGACCGGAGAAAAAGAACAACAAGAAGCAATTGAACATATTGATGAAGTACAAAATGAAATAGACAGACTTAATGAACAAGCCAGTGAGGAGATTTTGAAAGTAGAACAGAAATATAACAAACTCCGCCAACCATTTTTTCAGAAGAGGTCAGAACTGATCGCCAAAATCCCAAATTTTTGGGTAACAACATTTGTCAACCATCCACAAGTGTCTGCACTGCTTGGGGAGGAGGATGAAGAGGCGCTGCATTATCTGACCAGAGTGGAAGTGACAGAATTTGAAGATATTAAATCAGGTTACAGAATAGATTTTTATTTTGATGAAAATCCTTACTTTGAAAATAAAGTTCTCTCCAAAGAATTCCATCTGAATGAGAGTGGTGACCCGTCTTCGAAGTCCACCGAAATCAAGTGGAAATCTGGGAAGGATTTGACGAAACGTTCAAGTCAAACGCAGAACAAAGCCAGCAGGAAGAGGCAGCACGAGGAGCCAGAGAGCTTCTTCACCTGGTTCACTGACCATTCTGACGCGGGTGCGGATGAGTTAGGAGAGGTCATCAAGGATGATATCTGGCCGAATCCATTACAGTACTACCTGGTTCCTGATATGGATGATGAAGAAGGGGAAGGAGAAGAAGATGATGATGATGATGAAGAAGAAGAAGGGTTGGAAGACATTGATGAGGAAGGCGACGAGGATGAAGGGGAGGAAGACAAGGATGAGGATGAAGGGGAAGAAGGGGAGGAGGATGAAGGAGAAGATGACTAATAGAAAACACTGATGGATTCCAACTTTTTTTTTTTTTTAATTTTCTCCAGTCCCTGGGAGCAAATTGCCGTCTTCTTTTTATTTTTTTCCCTCTTGTGCTCAGTCTCCCTGTTTTTGAGGTCTCTTTTCTCTACACCATGGTTCTCACCTTATTGTGGGGAAAATTCCTGAAGCAGAATACAATGGGAAAAGAATCTCTACCCCTTTCTGTTCCAAATTCATTTTATCCCTCTCGTCTCGACAAAAACTGTATGGAATCAACACCACCGTGCTCTGCAGGAAAAAGAAACCCCCCTGCTCCCGGCTCTGCTGGAAGCTGGAGGGTGCCAGGCCCCTGTGTAGTAGTGCATAGAATTCTAGCTTTTCTCCTCCTTTCTCTGTATATTGGGCTCAGAGATTACACTGTGTCTCTATGTGAATACGGACAGTTAGCATTTACCAACATGTATCTGTCTACTTTCTCTTGTTTAAAAAAAGAAAAAAAAAAAACCTTAAAAAAATGGGGTTATAGAAGGTCAGCAAAGGGTGGGTTTGAGATGTTTGGGTGGGTTAAGTGGGCATTTTGACAACATGGCTTCTCCTTTGGCATGTTTAATTGTGATGTTTAACGGACATCCTTGCAGTTGAAGATGACACTTTTAAATAAAATTCTCTCCTAATGATGAAAAAAAAAAATGTGTATATACATACATACACACATATATATAAACATGTCAACAATCATAGTAAATGTAAATCATCTAGATGACTTAATATAAAAGACAGATTGTCTTACTGATTAAAAGGGAAAACTCAACTAAACACTGCCTTTGGGAAAAGCATTTTACGTATTACAGTACATTTAAATTTCAAAATAGGGGGCTAGTGTTGTGGCGTAGAAGGTTAAACCTCTGCCTTCAGTGCCATTATCCCAAGTCCCAGCTGCTCTACTTCCGATCCAGCTCTCTGCTGTGGCCTGGGAAAGTAGTAGATGATGGCCCAAGTCCTTGGGCCCCTGCACCCATGTGGGAGACCTGGAAAAAGCTCCTGGCTCCTGATTTCTGATCTACCCAGCTGCAGCCGTTCAGGTCATTTGGGGAGTGAGCCAGCAGATGAAGCTTCTCTCTCTCTCCGCCCCCCATATCTCTGCCTTTAAAATAAATAAATAAATAAATCTTTTTTTAAATTTTCAAAATAAGTATGAGGGAAAAGATACCAGCAAGAAAAACACATATTATATGATTTTATATATATAAAAATCTATACAATGTGAAGTAATATATAATATATAATAAGTAATATATGAGTAATATTTTATATATAATATAATGGCAGAAAATAGGTAGTTTCTGGGAATGAAGGTGGGGAGGTATTTGAGATGGAGTATAGAAGGGCAAAAGAGTAAACTTTTTGGAGTGATAGCTATGTTCATTATCTTGACTGTGGTGACGGTTTCACAGGTGAATTTGTATGCCAAAATTACCTAATTTTTCAATTTTACCTCAATAATACAGCCCAAAATGTTAATTAAATGCTTGAAAAATTTGGTAGATCTGCTTTCCAGTTTTCAATTTAATGAAATTGAAATACATATCAAATATTATAGAAAAAAGTTAACATTCAATTTGAGATACATCTTAACTGTAAATACAAATTAATTTGGAAGACTGTAAAAGAATGTTAAATATCTGCTAAAATAATTTGTGTTGAAATGATCATTTCTGGGGCCGGCGCCGTGGCGCAGTGGGTTAATCCTCCACCTGCAGCATAGCCATCCTATATGAGCGCCGGATCTGGTCCCAGCTGCCACTTTTCCAATCCAGCTCTCTGCTATGACCTGAGAAAGCAGTAGAGGGTGGCCTAGGTTCTTGGGCCCCTACACCCGAGTGGGAGACCCAGAGGAGGCTCCTGGCTCCTGGCTTCGGATCAGCACAGTTCTGGCCGAGTGAACCATCAGAGGCGGGACCTTTCTCTCTGTCTCTCCAGCTCACTGTCTCTAACTCTACCTCTCAAATAAATAAATAAAATCTTTAAAAATAAAGAAATGATAATTTCTTTGGTATATTGGGTAAAAGTATGTATAATTAACTTCACTTGTTTCTTTTTACGTGTTTAATGCAGTTCACAAAACTTAAAATTAAAGATGCAGCCCACAATAACTTTCTATTGGACAGTACTGTACTTGAAAGGAAGATTAATTGGAGTACTTAGGAAACATTATATTCTTCATATTTCTGCTCAAAAAAGGGTAGCCATACTATATGTCATAGAAAGATAATGGTCTCTAAAAGATGTCCACATTTAAACCCTACAGCCTATAAATATGCTAACTTACATGACAAACAGACTATGAAGTGATAGATCTTGAGACAAGTCTATTACTCTCATTTATTTCAGTGGACCCATATGGTTACATGGGCCCTGGTAAGGGGTCTTTAAAAAAAAAAAAAAAAGGAGGGGAGGGTAGAAGGTCAGCATCAGAGAAGACAATGTGATGACAGAAGCACAGAGACGAAAGGAAATCTGATAACAGAAACAGACAGGGGAGTGATGAAGCCATAAAACAAGAAATGGAGCAGCTTCTGTCAGCTGTAAAAGACACAGCTCTACCAACACCTTGATCTCAGCCACGTAAAGTTCACTGTAAAACAATGAACTCCAGAACAGTAAGATAATTTGTTCAAGTTACTAAATTTATTACTATCTGCACATATTTTCTGTACCTAGAAGTGGGATGCTGCTGTAACAAACATGCACACCTAAAAATGTGAAAGAGGCTTTGGCACTGAGTAATGTGTGGAGCCTGGAAAAAACTTTAAGGAACATGATACAAAAAGCCTAAATTGTCCTAAACAGACTGTTAGTAGAAATCGGGATGCTAACAACTCTGCTAGTGAAGATTCAGGAGGAAAAGCATGGTAGAGAAAGCCTCCTTTTGCCCAAGAGAATATTTAAATCATTTTTCTTTTTCTTTGTTTTAAGATTTATTTAAGAGGTAGAGTTACAGACAGAGAGGAAGAAATAAAGAAAGGTCTTCCATCTGCTGGTTTACTCCACAAATGGCCGCAATAGCCAGAGCTGGGCCTATCCAAAGCCAGGAGCCAGAAGCTTCTTCTGGGTCTCGCCCAAGGGTACAGGGGCCCAAGCACTTGGGCAATCTTCTGTTGCCTTCTCAGGCCATAAGCAGAGAGCTGGATCAGAAGAAGAGCAGCCAGGACACTAACTGGCATCCATTTGGGATGCTGGCACCTCAGGCGGAAGCTTAGCCTACCATATCACAGCACCAGCCCCCAAAACCAATTTTTAAGCTGAGTCCAATATTGCCTGAGTCTCTGATGTTCTTATTCCAAAGTCCAGTGGTAGCTATCTGTGCATCTCTGCATGTAATAATTCCTTCCACAAGGTAGGAAGAAATGGCTTTGTAATCCACTGCTCACAGTTTTAGCTCAGAGAGAATTCCACAGTCACCCACTTACTTTTACTTTAGCCTGGGGAGATCACTGGGGTCTGAGCCATGGCCAACCTTGAAGCAGCGAAACCGCCTTGCTACCTTCCCCTCCCTGACTCCTGCGGAGTGCCATACTTGCCAAGGAAAAGTTAAGTGGTGCTCCCCTTTTCTGCTCCTACCAGCGTGGGAATCAGCATCGAGGAGAGATGCCATCTTCTTAAAGAGAAATGAAAGGAGACTCTGGCAGCCTGTGTTGCTGGTGATATTGCCTGAGGGAGAACCTTGTAGCCTGCACAGATTTTGAGTGCAGCCAGGAATGCTAGTGAGGGGAGGGTGCCCACCTACACCCATGAAGCCAGAGCACATTGCCTGCTTCACATGTCCCCTACAAGGGCTCCCAGAGTTTAGTAGCACCATTTTTTTGTTTTTTGGGGTTTTTTATCTTTTTTTATTTTTATTTATTTTTTATTTAATAAATGCATTTTTTCATAGATACAACTTTAGGAACACAGTGGTTCTTTCCCCTCTACCCCACCCTGCCCCCAACTCCCATCCCACCTCCTTCTTCCTCTCATCTCCTTCTTCATTATGGTTTTTTTTGTTTGTTTGTTTGTTTGTTTGTTTTGTGGCAGGCAGAGTGGACAGTGAGAGAGAGAGACAGAGAGAAAGGTCTTCCTTTTTCTGTTGGTTCACCCCCCAGTGGCCGCTGCAGCCAATGCGCTGCAGCCGGTGCACCACGCTGATCTGAAGCCAGGAGCCAGGTGCTTCTCCTGGTCTCCCATGTGGGTGCAGGGCCCAAGCACTTGAGCCATCCTCCACTGCACTCCCGGGCCACAGCAGAGAGCTGGACAGGAAGAGGAGCGACCGGGACAGAATCCAGCACCCTGACCGGGACTAGAACCCGGTGTGCCGGCACTGCAGGCGGAGGATTAGTTTATTGAGCCGTGGCGCTGGCTATGGTTCATTTTTAGTTTGACTTTATATGCAGAGGACCAATTCCAAGTAGCACCATCTTAAAAGACAAGTACAGACTGCCATGGCTTGCATGCAAGTGATAAGGAGGTTTTATCTGAGGGGTAAATATACAGTCCCCACTGACTTTAAGTCTGACCCAAAGTGTTGGCAGGGGATAGGGTGTCCACTTAAACCTGTGAGGTGTTTCATGGATATTCCATGGTAACAGAAAGCCAAAAAGAGCTGGAGTACCCATACAATATCAGACAAAACAGACTAACACAAAAAGAATATTAAAAGGATAAAGAAAGATATTCTGTAATGATTAAGGGACCAATTCAACAGGAAGATGTGACTATAGGAAAAGTATATGCATCCAATGCATATTTCCTATTTAAAATCAATGAAAATGGCTCTAAAGGGAGATACAAACTCCAATACAACAATAATGAGGAACTTCAACACCTAACTTTTATAAGTAGACAGATCTACTAGACAAAAAAAAAGATCAAGAAAGAAATAATAGAGCTAATCAACAGTACAGATCAAATGGAACTAATTGATATCTACAGAATATTTCACTCCACAGGAGCAGAATACACATTCTTTTCATCAGTGCATGGAACTTTCTCTAGGATAGACCTTAAGTTAGGCCATAAAGCAAGTCTCAACAAATTAAAAAAAAAAAAAAAACTGAAATCATACCATGTATTTTTTTCTGACTACAATGGAATGAAGCTGGAAATTAACAATTTCAGAAACTCCAGAAATATGCAAATACATATAGACTGAACAACAGACTCCTGAATGAACAGTGGGTTACAGAAGAAATCAAAAAGGAAATCAAAAAATTCCTGGAAACAAATGAAGATGACAACACATCAAAACTTATAATAGGATACAGCAATAGCAGTGTGAAGAGGAGAGATTATAGTAATTAGTGTCTACATCCAGAAATTCAAAAGGCATCAACTAGGGGCTGGAAGTGTGGCATAGTGGATAAGGCTGCTGCCTGAGATGCTGGCATCCCATATGGGCACCAGTTTGAGTACTGGTTGCTCTACTTCTGATCCAGCTCCCTGCTAATGCACCTGGGAAAGCAGCAGAAGATGGCCCAAGTGTTTGGGCCTCTGCCAACCATGTGGGAGACCTGAGAGAAACTCATGGCTCCTGGCTTTGGCCTGGCCCAGCCCTATAGCAGCCATTTGGGAATTGAACCAGTGGATGGAAGACCTCTCTCTCTCTTTCTGATTCGGTCTCCCTCCCCACCACCCCACCATGTAACTCAGCCTTT